CTTTCTGGTTTTCAAACGATTTACTCCGAATTACTTATTTATGGTGCACTTTTTTGTTTGGTGATTGTTCATTAATGTCATGTGTGTATGTTGCATCAATTATATGTAGGTATGATCGCCGATAATGAAGTAATTAGCCAGTAACACTTTGGCCCGTCTTGGCCCGGCCCGGCCCGGCCCGGCCCGACTTTTAGGCAATGCCGTCTTTTTGTCACAACCACATATTCACATACCCAAAATATTATCACGTAGATGGAGAACATTTCAATACCGGGACTAATCAATAACGGAGATTCCTCGTCTCTTGTTTTACGTTTTTTGGTCAGTTTCTTTTTTGTATTTCTTTCTTTCAAATATATTGTGATCATGATGAGTTGAGTTACTATGTACTGATTTTTATCAAGTGTCAGTAAATGTTGTGAGTGAGTGAGTGAGTATGATTTTACGCCGCTTTTAGCAATATTCCAGCAATATCACGGTGGGGGACACCAGAAATGGGCTTCACACATTGTACCCATGTCGGGAATGTGAACCCGGGTTTTCGGCGTGACGAGCGAACGCTTTAACCACTTGGCTACCCGACCGCCCCAGTAACTTTTGTGGAATGGGGTTTACTTGTAACAATGACTGGTTTGAGTTCATATGATGACGATTGATTGGTTTGTCGTTTAACGCCGCACTCAGCAATATTCCAGCTATATGACGGCGTTCTGTAAATAATCGAATCTGGACCAGACAATCCAGTGATTAATATCATGAGCATCGATCCACGCAATTGGGATCGATGCCATGCATCAACCAAAGTGACCACCCGATCCCGTTAGCCGCCTCTTACGACAAGCATAGTCGCCTGATATACTGTTAAGATGTAACATAACAATTCATCCATACTACTAAACAGAAGTAAAACTGCTTGTCCATTCGGATCAGTCGGACCCAAACCATTCCGCTGATGAGAGTCAGATAATGCATACGAATCAAAATCCGTAAAAATTGCAATAGAGACATCATTAAAAGTTACCAAAAGTGAATGGGATATCAATACTGCTTGTTGAAATGATTCTATGAAATTTATTTTCCCTGCTTCAATATTTAAAACACTTGTGACGGGGCCATACAACTGATCTGTTATGTAGACAATATCGCTTGAGGCAGGGGCTGCTGAGAGCTGATCATGACCTAAATACCCCTCATAGCCTTCGGTGTTAACTATGTGACTGCAGAGAGATGTGCCTTCATCCAACAGATTATCGAGGTCAGTGGAACACGGTACAGACGCAAATAGATTTGAGCCATGGGACACAAAATATATGATAGCGACCAGAGCTACGGCTGTACATTGAATTCCATTAAACGGTTGAAAAATACTACAGCCTTGATGCAAATTCGCTGACACACTACTCCGATTTTGCTTTGACTTTGCTACCAAACGTTTCACATGTGGCTATGTGCGGTGCACTGATTAAAAAAACACGGGGGATTGGTTTTATTCAAAATACGGAATATAACTATTCCAAATATTTCCTGTGAACATGAGCATTCAAACAATCAAAAGTGTCGTATGTAGAATGTGGAATTCAGCCATATTACATTTAAATTGAGATGTCGTCGTTGTTCATGAATAAGCATATTCAGAACATATTTTATGTTATGCTGTTATTTACGATCTCCGGAGTAAAGTTCTTCTTTTGTATACACCGTGAAAATCAGAAAATTAGTCCTTAAGGAAAAAAGGAAATCGGATTACACATGAATGGTTTAATAATGTCAGCTAATGACCAGAAACGGTCAGATGCATCAATTAACTACATAAAGACGATTTTGAAGTATCTCTTATTGCTGGAAAAGAAAAGCATTAACATTCCTCGCACCTGATTTGTATGTTTTGTTTCCGTAAATGCGTGGCTTGAAATTTCAAATAAACCAACATGTCGACCTACATGCTACAACATTAACGTTTCCCTTATCTTCCCCGCCTTCAGGGCGGGGAAGAATGAACATTGTTGTGGGTAACCTGCTCTAACACAAAATATATACATATTATTAAGCATTCTGCAAAATTATGAATTTTTTTAATAGTTAATTTCACATCAAGCCTTTATGTGCCGCAGTAGCTGAGATTGACAATTACACGTTTTCAAATATAACGATGTGGGTTCGAACCCCGCTGGCGACACATGTTTTCGGGAAAAAAAATGAAATTATTCACTTGTAAATAAATGCAAAAAATAGTTTCCGTCTGTTCCAAGCTGGGTTCGAATCCCGGTTCACCCCAATTATGTTTCTAGGTTTATCAGCACGATACCCGTGCTCGTGGCTTTCCCGGAGTGGTAAACGTCTGAGACCTGCATCACTTCGGGCTTTCATCCTACATTAAGCTGACACGCCGCGATATAACTGAAACCCAACTCATTCACTCACTTGTGAATTGGTCACGTGACACCGCCCGCGTGTTTCTTCTAAAGTTGTATTTGAGCCAGGTGATTATATGTTGCTTTTTAAATATTTCTTCACAAGAGTAAGTTTTGCTCATCATTTCTGGATACATATTTTGAGCAAAAGTAAGCGAGATGCGATCACGTGCGCGCTATAACGGGGAGTTGGCGATAATAAGTCCTCGGCGATAACTGGTCGCTAACCAGTACATAGTGTGAGTGCGTGGTGGTTTTGAAACTGTCCCTATCTGTGACGGCGAGGCTCGAGTTTTCATCAAGTGATCGCGGAGGGAGTGCAAGGGTCGCCTGGGTGAGTACGCTGGGGGGCTGCCAAAATCTTTGTATGCTTGTCCTTGATTGACTTGTGCAGGGGATACATGTGCTGTTTTTCTGATTCTGTAAAACATGCTGAGAACAATACCGAGAGTACATCCAAGTACGTACTCACGTTTTTGTCCTCGATCTAGCCGCGATTGGTTCCTCCAGTCAAAGCACTGTCGGTCATGTCATGACTGTAGGACTCCATTGGGGCTCTCGGCTATCCTCGGTCCAGCGAGTTAAGGAATCGCAACACAAACATTATCAGATGAGGAACATCATTAGATTGAGTGAGTGAGTGAGTGAGTGAGTGACATCATTTGAGTGAGTGAGTGAGTGGGTGAGTGAGTGAGTGAGTGAGTGAGTGAGTGAGTGGGTGAGTGGGTGAGTGAGTGAGTGAGTGGGTGAGTGGGTGAGTGGGTGAGTGAGTGAGTGAGTGAGTGGCATCATTTGAGTGAGTGAGGTTTTACGCCACTCTTAGTAATGTTACAGCAATTTCACGGCGGGGGACACCAGAAATGTTGTACCCATGTAGGGAACACTTAAACCACTCGGCTACCATGCCGCCCGGCATCATTAGACAGCACAACATGGTGTGTACGCTTTTAGAAGGATAACATAATTGTTGTAACGTCATAGGTGTGGACAAACAGGGGTGTTGAGGTTGCCTAGTGATCAACGCATTTGTTCGGCCCGGCTTCGATTCCCACATAAGTGCATACTGTGAAGCACAATTCCACTGTTCCCCCGTGGTGATATTGCTGTAATGTTACAGTAACCGGCGTTTACAGAAGGTGTGCAGTATCACCAATATTCTCAGTCATGGATTGTATAACGCCCCCTACCACACTGTCTATGTGATACACAGTGGAGGTTATTGACCTGTGGATATACACCACGCGAAGGGACAGTATTTCCCAACTTAACGCATGTTAGGAAATCAACGCGTCATCCGAGGCCCACAAGATCAGCGTTTGAAATGTACGCATAATTTGGCTGCCAAATTTACGTTGAAAGAGCATTCGAGTCACTGTGAACATACATGAGGTGTGTAAATATGGCCATCGTTTTCATGTATTGTCTAATGTGTGAAATAATCGTAAACTCTGTTCACAGATGACACAGATTTAATAACTGTTAAAATCGTGTATGACAAGATTTAGATTTAGCATATATTTGAATGGTTCGATAATATGCCTGCGTTATATTGATCATTATATATTGGCTAGGTAGTGTGCAGAGGTAATTTCTAACATATGGCGAGGTGATCCACTTTACCACAGACCGTTGACGTTTCCCGTGTATGCTGAGTATTTGTTATCACCTAACGCAGAGTCGAGTGTACAATTCCGACTATATCATGAGCATATGTTTATGAATCACTATCAAATAGTAATGATGCCAGTGTTCGCGAAAATGTATCCTGCCCCACCGGAGGCACCCTTCACAAACACATGCAGTGCAAAGCTTCGTAAGCTGTTAATACAAAAACATGTCGGACAGCTTTGACTACCTTAAATGAATCTTTCTTAATGTAAATACAGAAAAAGAGGGTCTGCAATTGCCTACAATTTTAAAGCCAAACGTCAATTTCGGAATCAATAGGATTCAATCCCATTGACCTGTGATTCCGGAAGTCGAGGGTTGGAAGGAGACAAGAAGATTACAAGTCTCAGAGAAACTGATCTGCAAAACAAGTTCTCGTTCGTTAAAAGGCCTATCAACTGCATTATTCTAACGGACATAAGAAAGTCACTATCTGTGATCAGCGCGTCGTGTGTTCGGTGAAGGAAACACAGCCTCTGTCTGCCCAGATCTATGTTTACTGAAATCAGATTGACCAATGTTCTGTGATATAACTAATTACGGTATTGAAGCTACATGGCCGCCCATGGTTTTGAGGAAATGTCCGGGCCAAGCTCAATGTTTTTGTGCTGAACACACACACACACACACACACACACACACACACACACACACACACACACACACACACACACACACACTCACTCACTCACTCACTCACTCACTCACTCACTCACTCACTCACTCACTCACTCTCACACACACACACACACACACACACTCACACACTCACACACACACAAACACACACACACACACTCTCTCTCTCTCTCACACACACACTCACACTCATACACTCACATACACACACACACTCACTCACAAACACACACACACTCACACAGACACACACACACACACACACACACACACTCACTCACTCACTCACTCACACTCACTCACTCACACACACTCTCTCTGTGTCTCTATGATGGGATACACATGAACGCTGATGAATCCACGTCACACACACTAAGAACATGTACACTACTTGAATATTAACAATATTACATGAATCATACTGAGCAGTTAGTGAGAGTTTATATCTTAACGCTTATTCAGCAATATTGAAGCTATTCAGTTTAAGTATATACTTCAGTGTGAGTTTTCTGAAGTTGAGAAAAATGATGTTTTCATTGCAGTGAACATAACACTTGATTTGTCACTGATATGAACACAACACTTTATCGAATTTATTGTACATACATAATTTTAAACATTGTTAAACAAATACTTTTATACGCATGATAAATAACCAGGCATAGTGATTTTATTTGTTCTGTATCGATTGTGGCAATTATCTTTTTAAATGTGTGCATATTTACATGTATTTGGTGGACATGTAATTCTAATTTGAATTGAAAGTAGCACATACAAGAAGAAAATGATATGCGTCCTCTAAACCTCGATCACATAAAGGACGGTTTCTCATGCAGATATCGATTTTTTACCACCTACCTTCATTATTTCTCAACCGTAATAGCCCCCCTCTAAACTTCACTTAAATATTTCGAAGCTTTAATTCGCTAATTGCATAAATATTCTTTTCTGGTTGCCGATTATTCTTATTGGTTTTCAGGACAATACCCGTGCTTTTTCTACATTAGAAAACAGCTGATATATGAATGAGAGTCGGTGGGATAGCCTAGTGGTTAAACCGTTCGCTCTTCACGCCGAAGACCCGGGTTTGATTCCTCACATCGGGAGAGAGAGGTGTAGCTTCATATGAAATACACGCCTAAAGTTAGAAATATACGCAAATCTGGTAATAGCATGTATTTCCTGCTGTATTTGCGTGTGTTTCCATGATTTAAAATCCGGCTTTTGTTCCTGTGTTAGGTCAAGCACAAGCTTATCTGTCAGTCAATATCCGAAATGACTCCCGTGTGTGGTATCAGATGCGAGTGTCTAACATTGCGTTATGTCCCTAAGGCGCCCCTTACCCATACTAGGTATGTAGTATAGATACCGATAACGCCCGTATGTAGTACGTAGAAGCACGCGGTCGTTAGTTTACACACACTGAGGGAACGTGTCCTCACTCCAGCAGTGACTTGACTGCATTGTGGTAGTTGGGTGCGTGACACGATTCGGTGAGTACAAACACATACATGTGCTGGCACTCAGGAATGAGAATAGTTCTGATGTATGAACGCAGTTGGAGGAGAACATAATAGAATGAATTATTATCTTGAAGACACTGAAGGTTAATGTCTGCCCCAACAGACATATACCCCAACGTCGACCACAGTGGGGGCTGCACATACATAGAGACCCTCCCTCACATCGTATACCTCAACGTCCATCACAGTTGTACATACACGGGTGGCCCAGTCGTCTAAGGCGCCGCGATACGCTGTGCAGAGTTGCCTCCCTTGGGCACGCCAGAAACCTATGATTGTGGGTTCGAATCCCGGTTCGCCACGATTATGTTTCTAGGTTTGTCAACACCATACCCGTGCTCGTGGGTTTCACCGAAGTGGTAAACGTCTGAGACCTGCATCACTTCGGTCTTTCCTCCCACATTAAGCTGACACGCCGTGATATAACTGGAATAATGTTAAAAGCGGCGTTAAACCCAACTCACTCACTCACTCACTCACTCACTCACTCACTTACTCACTCACTCACTCATAAGAAATCTCTGCTAAAACAGAGTCTTTTCTACGATTCCGAGACGTATCATGAGCTTGCGTTTATGAATGACAATCAAATATAGTGATGATACCAGGTGTTCGCGAAAATGTGAGCGCATCCTGCCCAAACGATGGCACCCATCACAAACACATGCAAAGGCAAATCAATCGTTCACCTGTAAAAAAAGCACGGGAACATGTGGTACAAGTCAAAATAGGGACATCCCTGTCACTGATGCGTAAAGTTTGGAAATCTGCAGGGTATTAAACCAAATTCACTCACTCATTTGCAAGAACCCCAAACCAAGACTGAGTAGTACAAACAACCCCTGTAACAGTAAATGCGGTGATAATTGCTTTCGTGTTGCTTATCTTTTGCAGTTCTTCTCCCACATCCGCTATGACGTCATCACACGTGCGTGTGTGTCTGATGTTGCTTGGTCTTCCTGGGCTGGAGGCGGCCAACATTTTATTCTTTATGTTCCCATCTTACAGTCATATCAACGGGCCTCTGGTTGTGGCGAGGGCATTGGCGGAGCGAGGTCACGTGGTATGGAATGCTCTTCCGACAGAATTAGCAAATCACAAAGGTCTACAGTCTCCCGGGGTCAGCATCTTACATTACAAATCCCTGGACAACTTCAACATTGAAGAAGAGATGCACAGATATGTTGAGTCAAAGGATATGTCAATCATTTTTGATGCAAGTAAGAAAGCATGTGACTTGATCCTAAGGGATGGACAGCTTCTAGGACAAATGAAAGGAATGAAGTTTGACTTTATAATATTTGATTCCACGCCTTTACCGAGAATGTTAACTATCCTAGCCTATAAGTTAGATGTACCTTTCGCATTTATTGGTGCAGGGTTTGAACCTCAAGCCAGTCGTACACCTTTCAATCCTTCCAGTACTCCATTCCCTATCTACCCATGGTCTCCAGAAATGAAATTCTGGGCAAGATTTGCCAACGTCATATTCATGTTAGGTTGGCACATCTATAACCCTTTCTCCTACTATGGAGCTGTCGCGACCTACGCCCCAGAGAAGCCTGACTTGACCATGGAGGCTCTCATTGCTAAAGGATCCCTCTGGCTTATTTCACAGGAGCCCCTCGCTGATTATCCCAGAGCCATGTTACCTAATGTGAAGCTCATAGGATCTCTATCAGCAAGCAAGGTAAATCCACTACCGGACAAATACAAGAAGTTTATGGAGGTATCAAAAGATGGTGTGGTCATCGTTTCTTTTGGAAGTAATGTGAAACATCTCCCAATTGGTGTCGCCAAAAAACTCGTTAATGCCTTTTCACGTACAAAATACAGGTATGTTTTTAAGACTGATGAGACAATCAGTGTAGGACCTAATATTCTCTTAACAGAGTGGATGCCACAGTCGGATTTACTCGCCCATCCGAATACTAAACTGTTTATCACCCACTGTGGAGCTAATGGTCAGAGCGAGGCTTTCTTGAATGGAGTTCCAATGATTGGATTCCCGTTATTTGCCGAGCAGCCTTCTAATGCACTGAAACTGGAGTACCTTGGATTCGGCCTCAGCATGGATATAGACTCGTTTACTGTGGAGGATTTAGTATCCAATATAAATGAAGTTATCCAGAATTCTTCCTACTCACAGAAAATCAAGAAAGCTGCGGAAATCACGAAGCTCCGAAAAAGAAGTCCCAAAGATGAAGCTGTTTACTGGATAGAACACGTGCTCACATATGGCGGCGCCCATCTGAGGTCGTATTGTCAGGACATGCCGTTGTATCAGTATTTGTGTCTGGACGTCATCGGGCTTTTCCTGTTCATCCTCCATGTGTGTATTTTCCTTATATGGAAGTCGTGCGGGTACTGTTATAGAACTATTGTTCATAGACCAAAAGAAAAACTTCAGTAATTCTTCACATTTGTTAGATTACCAATTCTGGGTAAATGGCGAATAACTGTGAAAACGCCGAAACGTAAATATAAATATTTTCACCTGTGTTATATGACAAAGTACTGCCAGAAAGCAAGGCAAAATATTAACTCCCTAAGATCTTTAGGATTAAATAGTTATGATCCTTATCCAGTTTGAAGCGTGGCTCAGAATGATACTCAAAACCAACCTTTATGGATGTGAATTACTCTATGACATCAAGGGTCAACATGCTATTCTGTTGGAAGGCACGCAAAGATATTTTGCACGCATCGTACAGGGCCTTGAGAAGAGATCTCCTTTAGAATCCCCTATTGCGAACCTTTGGACAATTACTGCATATATTGATAAATGCAAACTTTTATTGTTTGGTCGTTTATGCAATCTGAACTGTCATAACTTTCCAAAAATTATTTTTGTGCCTCCATGCAAGCCCTGTCAATTCAGAGACAAATGTGGAAAACTTAAATCAACACTTCATAAATACAAAATGGGTACCTACCTTCGTACACATACTCTGTAAGGTACTTTCCCTCCAAATTTGAAATGGAGAAATCGTGTTAATGAAACTATATGCAAATACGAAGAACAATTATGTCTCACAAATGTATTAAATACCGCAAGCATGTCCCGTTATAAGAGCATGTACTTTGGCAATTAGCTTTTCTGTACTCGGAATATCGACCTGCTTTACAACTTTGTGTGAAAGTCTCATCACGCAGTAAACTTTCGAAAGAGTGCAAGCTCTGTAATAGGAAGGCTTTGGAATACGACAGCCACATTATTTTACATTGTGAAGCGCTTATATCAGACAGAAATGCGTTTTTCTTCTCTTATTGACTTACTTGACGTTCAAAAATATGTTTATTTTGAAATGCAAGACGAAATAGACATGTTTTCATTCTTATTTGGGTCTGAAACAAAATGTACTTACAATCTGGATCAACACATCTGGGAGATTATCACACTACAATTCGCCTCGTATCTGTACAAACTAAAGCATCTTTTGATATATATCTTTTAGTGAATATCTGTCTTCGTTTAGGTATCTGAATTTGATAAACTGTGTGTAATTGTAAATATGTTATACCTTTTTTATTGTGTTAACCGCGTGTAATTGAATATATTTTGAATGACATCTGGAAGAAATTAAGTCTCTCTCTCTCTCTCTCCCCCCCTCCCCCCCTCTCTCTCTCTCTGTAGACTGAATGAACGTGACTCCAAGTACCCATTGATCATAAGTTTTAAATACAAAGAAACATCAATGTCGAACCATTAAAAGACCCATTAGCGATGTGCTGCTATTGAAAATATTAACGATCACTTGTTACTGTGTACTAAAGACTTTTTAGGTCTCTCTCTCTCTCTCTCTCTCTCTCTCTCTCTCTCTCTCCTCCCCCCCCCCCCCCCCCCTCTCTCTCTCTCTCTCTGTAGACTGAATGAACGTGACTCCAAGTATCCATTGATCATAAGTTTTAAATACAAAGAAACATCAATGTCGAACCATTAAAAGACCCATTAGCGATGTGCTGCTATTGAAAATATTAACGATCACTTGTTACTGTGTACTAAAGACTTTTTAGGTTGATTTAGTTATGATTTTCACATGCAGTTGGATTAAATATTTCAGCATAAACGTGACCGTATTTAATATCGAAAGTGTACATGGCACACTGGAAAGGGGGAAGAAATCTGAAAATGTCTCTCATAACCATGTGGCGAAATCGGCCAGCAAATCATCCCTGACTATAGGGTTGTTTTCTGGGACTTTATCTGTTTCCACGTGAGCGAGATGCAATAGGAACACACCGAGCATGTTTTGCCTGAAACACACTTTCCATTACCATTGCATCATTCCGACTACATGATACGCATTAAGGACGTTGTTGCTGTACTGATGGTATTCACGACATTATCTCTTGCAGATTCTATTAAGTTTAAAAGTCAGAGTAGATTTCAAAAAAAAGGTCAGATATATATGAAGCTACGACTTTTGAGCGCAGAGCACTTATACTAGTATATGACTGAAACGGCGAACAAAGCTAAGCGCCTGGTCACGTCCATGTGCAGTACTACTGTACCAGCAATACCAAACACGTGGACGGTGACCATGTTGTGAGGCCATTACCACAATTAACTTGTCAACCGAATATATCCCGGCAGATAAACGCCGAACACCGATTACCTTGAGACAAGGTTGGTCCGACTGAGGACGCATCAAGGGCAAGGTCACCTGTCACAGCAGGACAAAGTTCAGCCCATTCGTCACCTCTCGTCCCTTTCCGTAACCTGCAAGAAGACTCGCCCCCCTATCGATGAATATTATATGCGAAAATACGACAAACCAATCAGAATGCGCGTATGACTTCAAGTACTTTGGTCAAAGAATCCCTCAGGAATAATTGCTCTATTTTACACATGTCTTGCATCCAAAAATATACCCTAGATACAGTAAAATGTGTTCAATCATACTGTATAAATATCGTAAGTCCCGATGTGTTTTAAATAGCAGCTGGAAGATATAAGACATGGGAGATATATACGTGAATCGTTACGCAACGAGATGACAATTCTTTTAGCTATGCCCGTTTGCGCTTAGAGGGTCGCGAGTCGCAGTTCGGCTTGTCCCGGAATAACACGAGTTGGTCCCAAATGAAACAGGCCGAGTTACGAAATGGAACAAAACACACGAGGGACCTATACGGTGTTACGTACGGTAACTAAAAAGTAAGGTGAATAAAATTTAAATGGTAACTTTTAAGGTTGAGTTAAAGGGATTAATTGTAGGTGACATGACCACATGGAATCAGCTCACTTTGATAGTTGAGTGAGCCTTTACGATGGGTGGCTGGACATTTCTAAGTCTCATTACAAAAGGTGTATAGTGCATTCTTAACAGATTGTATGTATTAAGTAAATGAAAGCGACAAAACGCTATCCATATTCAATACAAATCTCTGCTAAAAGCAGAGTCGATGGTACGATCCCGACTTTATCATGAGCATGTATCCAATAGAGGTGACACCAGGCGTTCGCGAAAAGGTGAGCGTATACTGCCACATAATTCCATCGGACGTAACTTTGGTCACTGATGCGTCAAATTTGGAAATGTACTCCATGTGTCTACCATAAAACTTTACTGAGGCCTTGAATGTTGAGGCCTTGAATGTTGAGGCCTTGAATGTTGAGGCCTTGAATATTGAGGCCTTGAACGTTGAGGCCTTGAATGTTGAGGCCTTAAATGTTGAGGCCTTGAATGTTGAGGCCTTGAATGTCGAGGCCAAAGGCTGGAGCTGCTGGAAATGAAGGGAAAGTTGACTATTGGAAAGTTGAAGTCATCCGTCTTGTCATACAGCTTTGTGGAGAGTGTTTTGTCACTCTGGATCGAATACTTTCCATGTTTCCGGGCTCCATGTGAATCCAAAACACAACCAGGCAGCATCTGTCTGCAGTCAGCATGCAGAACACAGACCACGAGGCTACCCGGGGACCAGGCAGTATCTGTCTGCAGTCAGCATGCAGAACACAGACCACGAGGCTACCCGGGGACCAGGCAGAATCTGTCTGCAGTCAGCATGCAGAACACAGACCACGAGGCTACCCGGGGACCAGGCAGAATCTGTCTGCAGTCAGCATGCAGAACACAGACCACGAGGCTACCCGGGGACCAGGCAGCATCTGTCTGCAGTCAGCATGCAGAACACAGACCACGAGGCTACCCGGGGACCAGGCAGCATCTGTCTGCAGTCAGCATGCAGAACACAGACCACGAGGCTACCCGGGTACCAGGCAGTATCTGTCTGCAGTCAGCATGCAGAACACAGACCACGATGCTACCCGGGGACCAGGCAGAATCTGTCTGCAGTCAGCATGCAGAACACAGACCACGATGCTACCCGGGGACCAGGCAGCATCTGTCTGCAGTCAGCATGCAGAACACAGACCACGAGGCTACCCGGGGACCAGGCAGCATCTGTCTGCAGTCAGCATGCAGAACACAGACCACGAGGCTACCCGGGGACCAGGCAGAATCTGTCTGCAGTCAGCATGCAGAACACAGACCACGAGGCTACCCGGGGATCAGGCAGAATCTGTCTGCAGTCAGCATGCAGAACACAGATCAGGAGGCTACCCGGGGACCAGGCAGCATCTGTCTGCAGTCAGCATGCAGAACACAGACCACGAGGCTACCCGGGGACCAGGCAGCATCTGTCTGCAGTCAGCATGCAGAACACAGACCACGAGGCTACCCGGGGACCAGGCAGCATCTGTCTGCAGTCAGCATGCAGAACACAGATCAGGAGGCTACCCAGGGACCAGGCAGCATCTGTCTGCAGTCAGCATGCAGAACACAGACCACGAGGCTACCCGGGGACCAGGCAGCATCTGTCTGCAGTCAGCATGCAGAACACAGACCACGAGGCTACCCGGGGACCAGGCAGCATCTGTCTGCAGTCAGCATGCAGAACACAGACCACGAGGCTACCCGGGTACCAGGCAGAATCTGTCTGCAGTCAGCATGCAGAACACAGACCACGAGGCTACCCGGGGACCAGGCAGCATCTGTCTGCAGTCAGCATGCAGAACACAGACCACGAGGCTACCCGGGGACCAGGCAGCATCTGTCTGCAGTCAGCATGCAGAACACAGACCACGAGGCTACCCGGGGACCAGGCAGAATCTGTCTGCAGTCAGCATGCAGAACACAGACCACGATGCTACCCGGGGACCAGGCAGCATCTGTCTGCAGTCAGCATGCAGAACACAGACCACGAGGCTACCCGGGGACCAGGCAGCATCTGCCTGCAGTCAGCATGCAGAACACAGACCACGAGGCTACCCGGGGACCAGGCAGAATCTGCCTGCAGTCAGCATGCAGAACACAGACCACGAGGCTACCCGGGGACCAGGCAGAATCTGTCTGCAGTCAGCATGCAGAACACAGACCACGAGGCTACCCGGGGACCAGGCAGCATCTGCCTGCAGTCAGCATGCAGAACACAGACCACGAGGCTACCCGGGGACCAGGCAGAATCTGTCTGCAGTCAGCATGCAGAACACAGACCACGAGGCTACCCGGGGACCAGGCAGAATCTGTCTGCAGTCAGCATGCAGAACACAGACCACGAGGCTACCCGGGGACCAGGAGTGGGATGGCCTTCACCCCCACCCTTCAGTGTCATAGAAATAAACACAGACCACGAGGCTACCCGGGGACCAGGCAGCATCTGTCTGCAGTCAGCATGCAGAACACAGACCACGAGGCTACCCGGGGACCAGGAGTGGGATGGCCTTCACCCCCACCCTTCAGTGTCATAGAAATAAACACAGTCACGTGTGCACCGCGGTGCATAGGAGGCATGTCGTTATTTCAGTCAGTGTTACACAAGGGCCGCTTACCACAGGGGCGCGATCACGTCTCTGGTCTACCTTTGACATATATACAACTACGAACGTTCACAAACACACGACACCTAGCACCGGCTACACCTAATGCCAGGTTTCATAAACTTACATCATAAGCGACTTGTCATGACATGAATAAATGAAATTTAGTCTTTTGTAACTTCAAATACAAACACCCGTCCAACAACTTTATCAATATTAGGTTTGTGGCAGCGTTCAAACAGGCCCTGATATGACGAGTTGGGAAATCTAGGTCGAAAGCACAATCATCTGTGTCAATTGTAGGTCCTTGCGAGGCGACATCACAGTCACAAATTTAGGAGTCTTTACCCTGGACAAGACACACGCGAGGTTTCACGGTAGGTCCATGTTATCGTATGTACTTATGTGTAAATACGAGCTATCCTTGAGTAAAGACGACATAAAGACGTTATTAGTTCAAACTATGTTTGTGTGGCAGGCAGGAATTAGCAGGTATATAGTCTTATATCTTCTTTTATTATGAGTGAGTGAGTGAGTGAGTTTGGTTTTACGCCGCTTTTAGCAATATTCCAGCAATATCACGGCGGGGGGACACCAGAAATGGGCTTCACACATTGTACCCATGTCGGGATTCGAACCCGGGTCTTCGGCGTGACGAGCGAACGCTTTAACCACTAGGCTACCCGACCGCCCCTCTTTTATTATGAAATAACATCCCAAGCACGTAACCAGCGCCTGGTCTTCATGTTCCTTCTCGACAGTCCCGATAATATATACTAGCCACATAAAGAAACTGTGCACGGAGAAAATATATTCTGGATTGAAATACAACACAGCAAGAACAAAATAATGCAGACGCTGTAGCAGCTGAATGATCGGACCATAAGAATATGTCAACGGGACCTGAACAACATCTGTTACGATGACGTCAGAAGATCAAAATGGAGTAGGGGGTCAAACGACAAAGTCACAAAGTCAATAACGGGTATGACCACCCTGTGCGTGAATCACAGCAGTGCATCGGCGACGCATGGAGTCCACCAAATGGGCATGGAAGGCCTGGGGAATGGCCTGCCATATCCTCCTCAAATCCTGTGCCAAGTCACGGACGTTATCTGGAGGATGTGGAAGACGACGCAGACGGCGCTCCATTTCATCCCACACATGCTCTATTGGGGAGAGATCTGGCCATGGCAGGCCATGGCAGTAACATGACATTGTTATGGTGGAGGAAATCCATTGCGACCCTAGCCGTGTGAGGACGAGGGTTGTCCTGTTGAAATGTCAATCCCGGGCCATGACGTTGCAGGAAAGGAATGACCACAGGCCTCAGAATCTGATCTCTGTAGCCAACACCGGTGAGATTGTTCTGAACAACCACCAAAGGGGTTCGGTGCCGTGCTGTTATCCCACCCCAAATCATCACAGAGCCACCTCCAAAACGATTCCTCTCCACAATACAGTTGCGTGCATAACGTTCTCCCAAACGCCGGTAGACACGTTGGCGCCCGTCACTGTGGGAAATGTTGAACCTCGATTCATCTGTAAAGACAACATTTCTCCACCATATTCGAGGTTGGCGAACATGATTTCGACACCATCTTAGACGGTTGACGCGATGACGGTGTGTCAGGATGGGACGTATGGCAGGGCGTCGTGGTCGAATCCCGTACTGACGTAGACGATTCCTGACAGTGTTGGGATGGATACGGCGCAGTCCATGAATTGTCTGGGACGTCGTTACTGCCGTTTGGAACCTGTGTCGGAGATGTGTAACCCGAATCCATCTGTCCTGTCTTGGCGTCGTTACTCGGGTACGTCCTGAACGTGGGTGGTCGGCAACGTCATTTGTGTTCTGATAACGTCTCACCATTGCCGATATCGTGTTACGATGGCATTGGAAATGTGTTGCCACCTGTTGTTGCCTCATTCCCGCTCGGATCATTCCAATGGCTTCATGACGCTGTGCAGCTGTCAATCTTGGCATGATTTGCTTGTGATATGCTTGTGTCTGCGCCTGAGAAGTTTTGAATTTTTGAATGACCACAGATCATGCTTTCCAAAGTGACAGCGAATTTTGAGTTGCACATGCTGTGTACAGCTGCACAGGATGCACGTGCAGTAACACATTGCACGTCAATAGGCCCCCATCAATGACGTCATATCGCATGGCACGTGCATGAGCGTTTGAATGTCTCCAATAATTGCTGTGTTCAAACCTATATTTCATATGTGGACGGTGTGCCCTTATATCTATATGTTCTCCGTGCACAGTTTCTTTATGTGGCTAGTATAGTTGGATGAATACGGATAGTGGAAACTGGTCGTTTGGCCGATCGAGAGTATTGGCAAAGTTCAAAATAACATTCGTCTCGTGACGCAGACGTGGGTCTACACACACGTGTAAAGTTGAAACAAATACATAGCTAGACAGACCTACTGCATGAATGCGCATTGGCAAAGATATTTTAAACTTTAATCCGGTGCTACGGATTGGCCTTTAAACTAACACGACTAATAAGTCTACCGTGCTAAAACAGCAGTGTTGCACTTTACGAACATGGGCTATATACAATAAAGGCCCAAGTGGTTATCCAAAAACACGAGGGAATGATATTTTAAGGTACATAAGCCATAACACAGGGGCGGTCAGTCAATCCGGACCTCATCGCACCAATCCCTGTATTGTCTGGTCCAGCCTCGATTTTTACAGGCCGTCCTCAAGTCTCTAAATGTAGCAGGAATGCGGAGTTAAACAACAACCAAACCAATGCCACTGCCTGTAAGACATCGGCTTTATCTTTATGGTTATACCGAGTGACTTACCACTCGATATATACTAACGGAAAAAAGTAACCGTGCTTCATATGAAGTGGTGTAAATGTTATGTTATAGGAAATATCAACATAATATTTTGTCATTCTTCTCATCAATCTTATCATAACGAATACATCATCATCATCATCATCATCATCATCATCATCATCATCGGTGGCGCATTGTAAACACAAGATGACTGTAAACCGTCTGGGGGTTGGTAACAATGGACGATCTGATATTGTTCTGGGGTTAAACATATGTATGCATTTAGTATAAACAAGCGAGTCTCGCTCAAGAATAGTTAGATTAATCTGAAATCATCACATTGCATTAATAGAAATGTAGACAATTCGGAAAATACCAGATTGGATTTGCTCAATCGGAGATTTCAATCACAGATACCTCTGATTGAAACAGCTTATTTTACGGCCGCATCACCGAGGGAATCTGCTAGTCATAGCATCGTGAAACTTTCTCAACCATGATCGCTTGGCAGTTTGAATGAATGATATGTTCAATGTTAGTGAGTGAGTGAGTGAGTTTGGTTTTACGCCGCTTTTAGCAATATTCCAGCAATATCACGGCGGGGGACACCAGAAATGGGCTTCACACATTGTACCCATGTCGGGATTCGAACCCGGGTCTTCGGCGTGACGAGCGAACGCTTTAACCACTAGGCTACCCGACCGCCCCTGTTCAATGTTAACATGTCAATATTTACGTAAATGTAAATATACACGTTAATGTTCACGTAAACGTACGCGTCAATGTTCACGTAAATGTTCACGTAAATGTAAACGTCAATTGTCACGTAAATGTAAATGTACACGTCAATGTTCACGTAAATAAAAATGTACACGTCAATGTTCACGTTAATGTAAGTGTACACGACAATGTTCACGTAAATGTAAGTGTACACGACAATGGTCACGTAAATGTAAGTGTACACGTCAATGGTCACGTAAATGTAAGTGTACACGTCAATGTTCACGTAAATTTAAGTGTACACGTCAATGTTCACGTAAATGTAAACGTACACGTCATTGTTCACGTAAAAGTAAGTGTAGACGTCAATGTTCACGTAAATGTAAATGTACACGTCAATGTTCACGTAAAAGTAAGTGTACACGTCAATGTTCACGTAAATGTAAGTGTACACGTCAATGGTCACGCAAATGTAAGTGTACACGTCAATGGTCACGCAAATGTAAGTGTACACGTCAATGTAAGCGTCAATGAACACGTCAATGTACACGTCAATGTGCACGTCAATGTAAATGTACACGTCAATGTACACATCAATGTAAATGTACACGTCAATGTAAATGTACACGCCAATGCACACGTCAATGTACACGTCAATGTAAATGAACACGTCAATGTACACGTCAATGTAAATGTACACGTCAATGTAAATGTACACGTCAATGTAAATGTACACGTCTATGTAAATGTACACGTCAACGCACACGTCAATGTACACGTCAATGAACACGTCAATGTACACGTCAATGTAAATGTACACGTCAATGTTCACGTCAATGTAAATGTACACGTCAATGTAAATGTACACGTCAATGCACACGTCAATGTACACGTCAATGTACACGTCAATGTACACGTCAATGTAAATGTACACGTCAATGTACACGTCAATGTAAATGTACACGTCAATGTAAATGTACACGTCTATGTAAATGTACACGTCAACGCACACGTCAATGTACACGTCAATGAACACGTCAATGTACACGTCAATTTAAATGTACACGTCAATGTTCACGTCAATGTAAATGTACACGTCAATGTAAATGTACACGTCAATGCACACGTCAATGTACACGTCAATGTAAATGTACACGTCAATGAACACGTCAATGTACACGTCAATGTACACGTCAATGTAAATGTACACGTCAATGTACACGTCAATGTAAATGTACACGTCAATGTAAATGTACACGTCAATGAACACGTCAATGTACACGTCAATGAACACGTCAATGTACACGTCAATGTACACGTCAATGTAAATGTACACGTCAATGAACACGTCAATGTACACGTCAATGAACACGTCAATGTACACGTCAATGTACACGTCAATGTAAATGTACACGTCAATGAACACGTCAATGTACACGTCAATGAACACGTCAATGTACACGTCAATGTACACGTCAATGTACACGTCAATGTAAATGTACACGTCAATGAACACGTCAATGTACACGTCAATGAACACGTCAATGTACACGTAAATGTACACGTCAATGTAAATGTACACGTCAATGCACACGTCAATGTTCACGTAAATGCAAATGTACACGTCAATGTACACGTCAATGTACACGTCAATGAACACGTCAATGTACACGTCAATGAACACGTCAATGTTCACGTAAATATAAATGTACACGTCAATGTTCACGTAAATGCAAATATACACGTCAATGTTCACGTAAATGTAAATGTACACGTCAATGTACACGTCAATGTAAATGTACACGTCAATGTACACGTCAATGTAAATGTACACGTCAATGTACACGTCAATGAACACGTCAATGTACACGTCAATGTACACGTCAATGTTCACGTAAATGTAAATGTACACGTCAGTGTTCACGTGAATGTAAATGTACACGTCAATGTTCACGTAAATGTAAATGTACACGTCAATGTTCACGTAAATGTAAATGTACACGTCAGTGTTCACGTGAATGTAAATGTACGGGCCAATGTTCATTTAGGGTAAATGTACACTTCAATGTTCACGTAAATGTACACCTCAGTGTTTACGTCAATGTAAATGTACACGTCAATGTTTATGTAAACGTAAATAAACTCGTCAACGTAAATGTAAATATACACATCAATTGTGACGTCAATGTAAATGCACACGTCAACGTTCACATAAACATAAATGTAAATATACATGTCAATGTTCACGTAAATGTAAATGTAAATATACACGTCAATTGTCACGTCAATGTAAATGTACGGGTCAATGTTCATGTAAGGTAAATGTACACTTTATGTTTATGTAAACGTCAATGTACACGCCAATGTTCACGTAAGGTAAATGTACACGTCAGTGTTCACGTAAGGTAGATGTACACGTCAACGTTAACGCACATGTAAATGGAGACGACTCAAGCGGCGTCTGGTTGACAATGTCACGAACAATTTCTATCTGTCTTGCAGACATCTCTTATCCAGGATGGGGGTACTGACCACAAGCTTGGCCCTGCTGTTGTTGCTGTTGAGTCTGCCTGGGTTCCAGGCCGCCAGGATTCTCATCTTGTACTTCCCTTCCTACAGTCACATCCGGGGCTCTCTGAACGTGGCCACTGAGCTAGCTTCGCGTGGTCACGTGGTATGGAATGCTCTGTCAACTGAACTGGCCAATAACAAGAGAATGCAGGCACCGGGAGTCAACATCCTCAAATACGAGTCGGTAGATGATTATGACATTGAAGGCGAGTTGATGCAGAAGACAATAAACGGTTACTTCGAAGGCGGCTCTGCCCCCCTTCTCTTTGGGGAATTTACGAAAATAGGTGACAAGATGTTACGAGATACGAAGTTGTTCTCGCGAATTGTACACCTAAAGTTTGATTTGATAGTTTTTGAGGCTAACCCGTTACCAAGAATGTTGCCTATCATAGCCTACAAGTTGGGCATCCCCTTCATCTTTATGGGGATAGGAGTTGAACCCCAAACCAGTCGTACCCCCTTTATTCCATCTGCCACTCCGAACGCTATTTTAGGGCTGACACCGAAAATGGACTTTAGGTCACGTGTAGTGAACACGATCATGATGGTGATGATATTTGTTTACGACCCGTTCACCACTTACAGGCCAGTCGCGACCTATGCCCCGGAAAAGCCTTACATTTCCATGGAATCTTTGACCGCTAAAGCATGGCTTTGGCTCCTTGAAGTGGAACCGTTTTTGAACTACAAAAGAGCTCTTCTGCCAAACGTCAAGCTGATCGGTTCGTTATCTACAACTATACCGAAACCTCTCCCCGACAAATATAAGAAATTTATGGATGAAGCCAAAGAGGGCGTTGTTATCGTCTCTTTTGGAAGTAATGTAAAAAGAATTCCAGATGAAATCTCAAACCGACTCCTGGAATCCTTTTCTCGAACCTCATATAGATTCATTTTCAAATCAGAAAAAATTGCAAGTGTTGGATCTGATATCCTTATGACCGACTGGATGCCGCAGTCGGATCTTCTCTCCCATCCCAAGACCAAACTTTTTATAACCCACTGCGGGGCCAATGGTCAAAACGAGGCTTTCTTGAACGGAGTTCCCATGATTGGTTTTCCACTGTTTGCTGAGCAGCCCTATAATGCCAAGAAGTTAGGTTACTTTGGATTCGGTATCGCGATGGATTTGAAAACGTTTACTGTTGATGACTTGGTGTCCAACATCAATGAGGTCATTCAGAATTCTTCCTACTCACAGAAAATCAAGAAAGCTGCGGAAATCACGAAGCTCCGGGAAAGAAGTGGCAAAGACGAAGCTGTTTACTGGATAGAACACGTGCTCAAATATGGCGGCGCCCATCTGAGGCCGTATTGTCAGGACATGCCGCTGTATCAATATTTGTGTCTGGACGTCATCGGGCTTGTCGTGTTCATCCTCCATGTGTGCATTTTCCTTATATGGAAGTCGTGCAGCTATATGTGCCGGAGATGTCGTCAACAACCAAAGACAAAACGTGAATAAAAAAGACGACCTTATTCATTCTCGCTATGTACCATATTAAAGAAAGGAGCCGACGGATGGATAGGAGTCAAGACAACAAAATCACAAAACTAGTCCCACAGATAGACTCAATCAGCTGAATCGGTCACTCACATAAACTTGTCATCACTGAATGCTCTACATTGTTCAGTTTTCTGGATGCATCAGCTGAGAATGTTCTAACTGTTTGGACAAGAGAGACCTCAATTATGATCATTGTACCGCCCTATACTGACGAAGAATTGGGTTGTTTTACGCACGGCGATTTACTCATCATAACGGACTGTTTTTGTTCACATTTTGGATTATTTTATCGTTTCATTTCTTTTTGGAGTACACATACAATACGTATACAAAACAGTTCCCATACAATCTGAAATACATACAAGTTACAAAGCATTATTTATATGATAATAAGAATAAAAACTATTCCATGTCAGGAGAACAAGAACTTATTGGAATTGTAGAAGTGGCTTATCCGAATAGATGGTGACAAAGTGACCAAACTACCAAAAACAACGAACTCGATGTTACATGAGTTGATTATTTCTTGTTTGGTGTTGTTTTGTAATATTATATGGTCTATAAGATGTAGAAAGTCTCCACTGAAGTAGTGTTCATAATTTGGCCGGGATGTTCCCTTTGCTTATCTTCGTATTTTGCCATAATGGCTGTGACGTGGATCCAACATTGCTTGCCAAGACTTAGGAAGAATCAGAGAAACCAGGCTTTAGGAAGACTGCATGCTGTTTGTGATCTGGTATCGTTGGTGTAATCTGTCGATGGTTTTCACGGGAACATTAAAAACATTGACAACAACTCGTGCAGTCTGACCAGCATGCAGTCGTCCTAAAGCCTGGTTTCTATGATTCTTCGTTAGTCTTGGTATGGCGCTGGTATCGATAGCCTATCCACAACACTTTCGTATTGCCCGGAATGTTTCAAGAGTTGACATCAGTTTTGGAGATATCTTCAGTTCCATCTAATATAACCGATGTATCATCTGCGAATAGGGAAATTAAAAATGCTGTCTCATCAATACTTATTCCCCTTACATTTGTTATTATTACGTAGCATTATTGACAAAATGTCAGCGCACAACAAGAATAGATAAGGAAATAAAGTATCACCCTGTCTTCAGCCTCTTGTTGCCATAAATATGAAGCGAAACCGTTTACCGAAACACCAGATTTTATGTTGTGATGAGGAGTTGGTATTCAGTGCTTAAATGAAGGTCCAAAATATAAAACAACAAAGCTTCTTGAATGAAATACCAATTTACTAAATTTAACGCCTTTTCAAATTCTATTAGTAATAACAATCCTGGGATGTCCATGCATTCAGTATAATCCATGATATCGTAAATTAATTTAGTGCATTCTCCAATTTATCGTTTTGACATAAAACCCCATTGATCCCTCGTTAATTACAGGATTGTTTAAAAATTGATTGTATTTGCTATTGTGCATCTTATAGGAAACATTGATATTTTCTAGGTGCTGCTTTGGTTTGTCCTTTTTATGAATGTATGTTATTAGCCACTGCTTTTGGCTTACTGATATTTCTCCTCTTTGGAAGCCAAGATATGATCGTATCAGATATTTGTAAAGAAAATATGTAGAATTCTTCACTGTATGCACTTTGTTCGCATTTCATCATTTTTTAAAGACGTTATTCTTAATGTAAATCATCTTCAAGTTTTAATTGTTGTGGTGGGCTTATTTTAATAATAATAAGTTATATAATTCAGTTATATGTCCGTCCTTTGTTTCCAGCTCAACTGTGGCCCTATTCAGGTAGGTTCCATTTTCTGAGGGTAAAAAGTATATAATAAGTTGGCTTTTCGCCCTTTTCTCTCCATTAACCCCGAGACTGAGATCGCATGATTTTCACATGATGTATTTCTTCTCTTTCGTAATTTGCATCTTTTAGTTTCTTCAATATTTCATTTTTAATTTCTATATCTTTTCATGTATCAAGATTAATATGCACTTCTTGAATACGTTTTTGTTGGTCGTTTTCTTTCTGATCTCGTTTTCGCTTCCTTTCAGAGGAATATTTAATAGTTTGACCTCTTATTATCAACAATAACGCTTCGAAATAAAATATATTAAAAGTGATATTAAATCTGGCATTGCCTTGTTCATAGATACATGTTTTATATTTTTCTATTGTACTTTTAATTGCTTTTTTAGTTTTTTTCAAAAAAAGTTTCGTCGTCCATTAGGGAGTTAGTAAACTTCCAATATCCCCTTCCTCTTTGGGAGACCGCCTCCGTGGTCTAGTGGACAGAGCGCAACCTCTATCCCCGGCCGCTTCATACCGGAAGACGTTAACAGATAATACGTGTTGATACCCTGCCTGGCGTTTGGCATTTAGGGTCTAAAACATGGACTGGTCGGAATGAGTGTGTCTGCGTGGGGTATTCATGTTAAACTGCGGCCTGGTATCTCAATGGTCTAGCACTGTAAAATCGGCTTAAGCCCTGACAAGTACAAGCAGCACACACCCTCACATCCACACCCGCTCACCCACACGTACGCACGCACACACACACACACACACACACACACACACACACACTCACACATGCCAACGTCGCCGCTGTATACGTGCAATTATCTTTAACGCGACGTTAAACCCCATTTCACCTCACCTCACCTCCTCTATCAATACTATTAAGTTTTAACGAAATCCAATTCGTAGAGTGATCTTATAGTGGTCCAACTCAAACTCAGTTTCAAGGATTGCTGGCTAGTTTGTATTATTAAAGTAAAAATATTTTTTTCCCAACTGCATTTTAGGGCAAGGAGATTACTGAATTCATTATCCTGAAATTCTTTTAATATTTTAAATTCAAAGTTTTCTTCAAACATAATAGTGTATATAGTATAAAGTATATAGAGTATATAGTATATAGTGTCATTAGTGTCTGTATTAATATCAATATTTAGTTATTAGCATATAGTGTATATAGTATATAGTGTCATTAGTGTCTGTATTATTATCAACATTTAGTTATTAGCTTATAGTGTATATAGTATATAGTGTCATTAGTGTCTGTATTATTATCAACATTTAGTTATTGGTATATAGTGTACACAGTATATAGTGTCATTAGTGTCTGTATTAATAACAACATTTAGTAATTAGTAGATAGTGTATATAGTATATAGTGTTTTTAGTGTCAGTATTAACATCAACATTTAGTTATAAGTTTATAGTGTATACAGTGTAATTAGTATCTGTATTAATGTCAGCATTTAGTTATCCGTAAATGTATGTTATAAGTGTAAATAAAGCGACAAAACCCTTTCCACATCCAATAGAAATATCTGCATCAAGCAGTCGATTCCGAGCATATCATGAGCATGTGTTTATCAACTGGAAATGATACCCGGTGTGGGAAATGTCTGGCTGTCCTACATGAGTGAGTGTGTAGTTGCTCCCACTGACAAGGCCTCAAATAACATAACCATTACGTGTAACACTCACAACTTTGACCGCCTCCGTGGTCTTGTGGTAGAGCGTCCGCCCGGAGAGCGGAAGGTCCAGGGTTCGATCCCGGGCCGCGTCATACAAAAAGACGTTAAAAGATTGTACTTGTTGTTACCCTGTCTGGCGCTCGGCATTAAGGGGCTAAAACAAGGACTGGTCGGCTCGGAGTCAGTATACTGTGTCTGAGTGGGGTATCCATGTTAAACTGCGGCATGGTATTTCAGTGAGCTAGCACTATAAATCGGCATCAGTCCGGACTAGTACAAGCAGCCACACACACACATACACGTGCATGCACGTCGCTATATAAGTGCAATAATCTTGGACGCGACGTTAAACCCAATTTCACCTCACCTCACCTCACCTCACAACTTTAATTGTTTGATTAAAGAACTTTATATAAACGACATATTAAATAATGCCACCATGCATCAGTACTAACAAGTTTTGATTTTACTCTAAAACCCGAAGACGTGTCCATTCCTCCATTGTACGTGATTCCCAAACTCCATAAAAGCCAATACAAAGAGATATATATGCTGGGTCCAGCTAACATAGGACCAAATCACTGTCTAAAAGATTAACCCAAATCCTTAATACAATCAAGGAAGGGCTTTCAATCTGTTTCATATTTAGAAGTATGCATAAAGATTCAGGATCACTGAACACCCTCAATAATACCATTTGACAAGAGGGATGACTTCCACTTTCCAAAAGTCGACTTTCCTTTGTGTCGAGCACTATTCCAGCAACTCCACCCTTTGGTGTTTACTTTTCACAACTTTTGAGATACAATTGAGCATGATCTTTCTACCAAGATTTCAAAGAGCGTCATACAACCCTCGCTCAGAAGTTGTATGATCAAGGTTACAGCATTCAAGGTCTCAGTGAAGCTTTCAAAACGTTTTATGGTTGACTGTGGAGGACATTTCCAAATTTGACGCATCAGTGATAATAATGATGCCAGATGCAATTCCCTATTTTGACTTGTACCATGTGTTTCCGTTTTTCAGGTGAACAATTGACTTGCCTGTGCATGTGTTTGTGACGGGTGATTTATAAACACATGCTCATGATATAGTTGGAATCTTACAATGGACTCTATTTTCCATTGGATACGGAGGTTTTTTTGTCGCCGTTGCAATCGTTTTATCCCCTTACCCGCACATGCATTTGCAGTTGTCCGCGGTGCACGTGTTTTTCACTTTTTCGCGTGTTTTCTCGCAAACATGTAACAGACGATTAACATTTTCTGCATACAGTATTGTTGTATTTAGGTTATGTGTTTTAGATAGACTTCATCGAAAAAAAATTGGTAAAGTTTCTTTTGGACGTCAGTTTATTATAACTGTCCACACAAAACAATCAAGGACTAAGTTTAGTATTTTGGTAAGTAAGGTGCATGTGACAACCTCCTTGGTCTAGTGGTATAGCGTCTACCCGGAGAGCGGATGGTCGATGGGTCGATCCCCTGCTTACCAAAACATGTTAAAAATGGTACTTGTTGTTACCCTGCCTGGCACTCGGCAGGGTAACGAGAGAGAGAGAGAGAGAGAGAGAGAGAGAGAGAGAGAGAGAGAGAGAGAGAGAGTTTGTGGTGTTAATCAGTACATCATTGTAGTGTTGGTATGTTTGAAATGATATCACTTTCGGCGGATAATCGGATGATCATAAGCCTCGAAGGAAATTAACACTAATAATACTAAAAATACCAATGTCATTATGAAACATAGTTTAGTTAAATAAACAAAATGGGCGATTAAATTAAAACAGAATTACAGCAGGCTAGTGACCTATTTATATACTGATAACGGAGTTTATTAGATCGCACCGATTAGACCTTGACTTTCTTATCGCATGAATAAGCAGGACAGTTGAGTCGACTCTATCTGAATCCGTCTGGAAAACCCCACGCTAAATAATAAATGACATGTTTACTGCAGAGAGCAGGATGTGGAAGCGTCTTGTCACGCTGCCGAAACGCACGAGTTCTTGCGAGACATTACCTTACGTATATAGCGAGTGGAATCGCTTTCATCTGATCTAACCAGTCAGACGTTGACCATGGAGTGGGGGATACAGTCCACAAGTCATTGTCTGAGTGAGGGATACAGTCTACAAGTCATTGTCTGAGTGAGGGATACAGTCTACAAGTCATTGTCTGAGTGAGGGATACAGTCTACAAGTCAATATCTGAGTGAGGGATACAGTCTACAAGTCAGTATCTGAGTGAGGGATACAGTCTACAAGTCAGTATCTGAGTGAGGGATACAGTCTACAAGTCAGTATCTGAGTGAGGGATACAGTCTACAAGTCAATATCTGAGTGAGGGATACAGTCTACAAGTCAATATCTGAGTGAGGGATACAGTCTACAAGTCAATATCTGAGTGAGGGATACAGTCTACAAGTCAGTATCTGAGTGAGGGATACAGTCTACAAGTCAGTATCTGAGTGAGGGATACAGTCTACAAGTCAGTATCTGAGTGAGGGATACAGTCTACAAGTCAATATCTGAGTGAGGGATACAGTCTACAAGTCAGTATCTGAGTGAGGGATAGTGTACATGACAATGGCGAGTGCGGCGTGTCTGCTTGATACCCCGCGGATGGCGTACATTGTGTATAACGAGGAGATTGAAGGTAATCTCAGTACGGTAGAGTACATCGACAAGGAAGTGTCTAACTCAAGACTGAAGTGTGTGTATTTCACGAAAGATGGGAACGGGGCGTGTCTGGAAATAGCGGAGAGAGTGCGTCTTCTGTCGGCGGCGGAATGGATTGTAGTTCTGTGGGGAGGCACACACAATGGGACGTTCACGTATGAACTTTACACCGCCCTGTACCTCGCCACGACGAACAGTACAGCCAATATTCTCTGTGTGTTGCCACAACGGACATCGGACCGCAGCTCTTTGTTTGAATGCTTCCCAAAGGTGCCAATGAAGAAGGAATGGATCAGCAACGTCAGATTGGAACTTTCAAGACATCCCAAAAAACTCAATAAGGATTTTTGTGATAAAACTGGAGTCGCTGCTTGGATGTTTAAGAAAATAATTGAAACGGGGGGTACAAACTTGTCATGTCCAGGACGCATTAGCAACCCCGATAGAGCACCAAGCACCTGTCGGTCTCACTTATGGGAAAGAACATACATCGCCGTCCTAAATGACGTGAAACAAAGTCACGGTCATGACAGCGTCGGCGAGGACATACAAGCGTTACGCCATGAGGAGGGGGGCGTGGAAAGGAGACAAAAGAGATCCCCGTTTCGCCGAAAGGATATGCCCGTCGCTCGAACAATCATGAAGACAGTCAAGTTCCTGTACCTATTCATCTTTCTATTCAGCATTGTGTATCTGTCTGTTCTGGTGTTCTGGGAAGAGTTCATCGTATATCTTACTTTCGCACTAGTGGGTGTGGACCTCGTCCTAATCTCTCTGAACTTAACGTTCTATGCCAAGTGCTGCCTGAGAGTTGGATGGGTGAGCTACTCGTGTTTGCTGGTGTGGGTTGTACTGTGCTGTGTCGCATATTGTGTCCTGGTTTTTAGGTACAACATAAACGCGAGGGGATGTAGTTTCGTTATGTTTGCTGCCGTGTATGTGGGCGGGGCCCTAGCTCATGGATGCGTGTACTTGTCCCCTGCCTGGTCCAGATGTTGTCGCTGAACTCAACCCCTCCTGAGTGGGTGGGTGAGTGAGTGAGTGAGTGAGTGTCGAGCAATATTCAAACAGCTCCTTCCTTTGGTTTCGTGTCTACATTTCACAACTGTTGAGGTAAGCTCCTTCCACAGATATTTCAAAGAGCGTCATATGACTCTTGCTCAATAGTTTTTGATGAAGGTTACAACATTCAAGGTTTCAGTGAAGCTTTCAAAAATGGTTTCATGGTAGACGTGTGGAGGACATTCCAAATTTGACGCATCAGTGACTACCATGTGTTCCCGTGTTTTTAAGGTGAACATTTGACTTGGTTTTGCATGTGTTTGTGACGGGTGCCACCAGTGGACAGGATGCGCTCCCCTCTTCGCAGGACCTGGTATCATCCCTATGTGGTAGTTATTCATAGACACATGCTCATGATGCAGTCGGAATCGGCCAATGGACTCTGCTTTATGCAGAGATTTCTTATAACCATGGAAAGAGCAATGTCGATGTTATTTATATCAATAATATTTATTTGCATCATGTATAAAAGAAGCGGTCGGGTAGCCTATAGGTTAGAGCTTTCGCTCGTCACGCCGAAGACCCGGGTTCGATTCCCGACATGGGTACAATGTGTGAAGCCGATTTATGGTGTCCCCCGCCTTGATATTGCTGTGATATTGCTAAAGGCGGCATAAACCACACTCACTCACTCATGTATGATGGATGTATGTGTATCATATTCGTCTAAAAAAACAGTTGGGGATTTTTTTCTGAGTTAATAAGGAATTGCCAATCTTCGATTCATTTCCATAATCATAAGAAACCCATTTGTACGATTCCGACTATCATGGGCATATGTTTTTGAATTACTATCAAATAGTGATGACACCAGGTGCTCAGAGGGTAGCAAGAATATTAGCACTGACGTAAAAATTGATAATGTTGCCATGGTGACAGAAAAGAACAGTTTGACGGGTTGTACAACTTTACCTTGCACAATTAAAGGTCGCTTGCTGAAAAACACGTGTTTGTATCCTTGAACCTGGCGTCGCACCAGTCCACATGTCCTTCCTGGGGAATGCGTGCACGCCGTGAGGCCCTTGACGGCAATCGTGAGAAGGGGAAGGAAGTACAAGCGGATCATGCACACATTCATGTGTGACCATCGCTATTGT